TCCCCCCCCCCCCCTAACCGGTAAGCCCTCCAAAACATAAGATATCCCCCCCCCCCCCCCCCCTCGCGCGCCCCAGGGTCCCTACAGTTGTGAACTCCGGCCGTGTGCCGTGTGTATGGCAGGAAGTACTCCCGTTCTCTCGACAGCTCTCGGAAAGGGGGTCTGATGGGCATCACCGCTGTAGCCTCGGGTTGGATTGGGACTACCTCTGTCGACAGGGAGAGCTGTCCAGACGAGACACATGATGTACAAGCCGTTCGGCGTTCTTGGAGAGCGTCAGCCGTCAATGGCCCCAAAAAAAAATAATAAAGTAGCACACACCGGAACAGGTAAGTACCCCCGACGCCGAAACCAAGTGACGTCACGCCCTTATCGCTGACTCTGCGTAAGATCAACGCATCGCAAATGCCCAGAGAACGTTTCAACAAGTACACGGTGCACCCTGCGTCCAGCATTTCTTGCCAGCACAACAAAATCCACACAAAGCAAGCACGCAAGCAACCTCATCATGGTTCCTCCCTCCCTCTGAATGCCGTCCTCGCCACCAGTCGCCTGGAACCCCCAGATTCCAAATGACGGAGCGGGTTCTACCGTGCACGCGCGACTCTCTCTTTCCGTGTGCGGGGTGCCAGCTCAACCGATACTACTGCGCACGCCAACACCAACCTGTTTAGTCAGCTCTCACGTGCCCTCCCCCTTCCCCCGGGTATGTTTTTTTCCTCCGCAAAGAACAGCGACGTTTCAATCAACCGACACCGGATCGATCCCAACCTCGAGACAGACCCTGGGAGCTTGTGCTTGTCCTCCGTCACGTGAGACACCAAAAAGAAGACACACACAAAAAAAATAAAAGACCGGGTACTCCGTATCTGCAAAGGTAGACAATTGATAGGCGGGCACCATGCGCACCTCTCGTGTGTGTACGCAAGCGAGAGCCGGCATCGGCCAGAACAAAAAAAAAACAGGGTCCCCCGGCCGTGATCGGAGAACAAGCGTATCGCGAAAAGCTGAAACCAACACGCGAACAAGAGGCGTCTCGACGACAGCACAGCACAGCATGCATATGTGCGCCAACAAGGCGACCCTCTTGAGCGTTGCCTGTCTGCCAGCACCAGCAAGAACAAGAACAAGAACAACAAGCGCATCAACACAAATGGAAACAAAATTCGGGACGCTCTTCGGCTGCTAGACACAAAGTTCTACTATTCCTGAGAGAAAAACCGGAACGCGGACAAGCGACACTCCAACCCGCCGCCAAGAAAGTAGGACACCCGCAAAAAAACAACACCGAAAAGCATTGAGAAGACCAAATAAACGCTGCCCCCCGTCGGACACGAGAAAAATGAAAACGAAGACAAGAACGGTTGCAGGTGTAAAGGTGCCCGTCTGCTCATGACTACCCCCTCCCATCTGAATCCGGCCAGGACAAAAGGCGACGAAAGCCCGAAACTCGGAAACTGGGAAACGGGGTACCATGTGCCCCCATGCGATGCTAGCTAGAGCCACACGCCGGGAGAGCTGACCGCACCATGACTGCTGTGCCTACGATATCGGTCTACGGAACAAAGTAACCAAAACACCCACAGCAACCGAAACCCACAACACGCCGCAGCAGAGAGAGGCACCCTCCAGCAAAAATCTTCCGGAAACTCCCAGCACCAGAAATAGAACAAGACACAAACATACTGCCACCGCACAGACGTTCCGCCGCAATATGGTTTGTGCGTCCAAAATGACCGTTGACGTAGCGAAGAAGACCAAAACCTCACGGAGGATCGATCTCACACAGCAGCACCGTCCAGGTGAAAAGCACCAACCTCAAAAGGAAAAAGACCCCCCATCTCCCCCCAACATACCCCAAGACCGCAATCAGTTTCGCTGCAGCCGAGCCAAGTCCCCTTCCTCCCCCCCATCCTGAGGCCACCGGGTGCGAACCACTCGCATGCGGGTGGTTTCCCAAGAGCATCTTGCCTCTACACCAAACGCACTATTATGGTTGTGTGCTGGGTTCTACACACACATATCTCACACCCACCACGTGGTAAGAAGTGAACAGCCCCCCAAAACCACGACCCACGCAGGTCATTTCCTGTCGTGTCTTCCTCCTTCCACCGTTATAATGACGCCAACACAACGTCGCGAAACTCCTACGCCATTCATCTTGACGGATTAACCCCTACCCACCCCCAGCCCGCACAAACCGCAGGTCAGTCTGCGTACCCCCCTCCTGATACCAACGAAAGAACACCAGCAACAAGGCAAGGACGATGCCAACGAACGATTGCCCCATCACGAAAGCAACAACAAGCACCACCAAGAGAGAGGCGGCGGCGGCGGCGGCGGCGGGGGGGGGGGGGGGGGGGCCGGGGCCAAACCAACCGCCGAAGGCCAAAAAATGTTTTTTTTTTTTGCCCCCAAAAAAAAAAATCTCCTTCCCCCCCATTTAAAAAAAAAAAAAAGTTTTTTTTTCTCTCCCCCCCCCCCCCCAAAATTAGGGGGGAAAAAAATTTAACCCCCCCCCCCCCCAAAGAAAAAAAAACCAAAAGGGTACCGGGAAAATTTATTTTTTTTTAAAAAAAAAATT